AAGTATAAAAATCAAATGAATATTCATATTTGACCTGATTGTTTATAGTTCATGATGCGTGATCAAAACCGAAAGTTTCTGTGATGAATGCCCTTGTACTGTTCACCATGTAAGAATTTATTCACTATGTAAGAATTCGTTCACCATGTAAGAACTTGTTCGTTATGCTTCAGAAAATTGGAGACTGACGAGAGTTAGGCTTGAGATGGATTAATGACTGTACATTGAGCATTGACCCCCCTATACTGAATTTTACTGTTGTTAACAACCATTTGATCAATAAATATGAGAGATGCCCTCTCAAAAAAAAAAAAAAAGATATGTTTCTGTGGGCAGATAACTTCCAAGGACTGCACTGGTTGTTCTCAAGCTTGTGCTTTCCCATGCTGCATTCAGACATGCGGGAAGGTGCTTTCCCATTCTGCCTACAAACATGTGAGAAGACAAAGGCGGTCCCCAACACCTCTCCATCTCCATGGTACCCCCAACCTTTGTTCCCAGCTTCTGCAGCCTTCCATCTCCCCCTGCATTTGAACTTTGCCCTCTCTGCTACCATCTACTTTGGGTCTCCTTGATGCTTCTGCTTAAGCATCTCAGGGTCTCTTTCCCTCTTGCCCATCCAGCCACACCCAGGACTCACTCCAACTGCATGCAGATCCCCGGATGAGAAAGAAAAGCTGTCCCTTCAGTTAGGAACCATTTCTCACAGGACACCAGGGTTATGGGCTTGAAGAAGTCACGTGCTTGTGGGCAGAATGACCTTCCTGAGGACAAAGATCATAGTCAGAGGAACTTAGACTCTGAGAATTGGAAGTTCCCTCTGCCCCCATCCCTGTCACAAATATTCCCAACAGCTTTAGCCCACCTCTTCCTGAACATCTTCCCCAAAGGCAGCAATAAAAGGCAGAGTTAGGCCCTCAGGGTTCCTGCTTGACCTCCAAGGTTTACTCACATATGTATTTCCTGCCTGTTAGTGTGCCTAGCAGGACCCTAAAACTCTATGACAGGTGACAGTAGACTAGAGAGACTATCCACAGGTGCAGGCTACAAAGCTTGTTGCATTTAGTTTCAGGAAATATGAGTTCTAGGATTTCTTGGCCCTTCCAAGCTGTGTGACCTTGGGCAAATCACCTAATTTCTCCAAGCCCCCCATTTCTTTACCTTTAAAAAGTGGTGATATTAGGGATTACTGGAGGTATGTATGCATATGAAAGGGCTTTGTGAGCAGTACAGTATATATAGATGTACACAAATTATATGTGTATAAAACTTAATGATGTTTAATAGCTAGCACCTAGTATAAGCCAGCATCTGCCAAGTGTTTTATATGAATTATCCTTTTTATTCTTCACAATAACCCTATAAACACTAGAATTACATTCATTTTACAAAGATAAACTGAGACTTGGAGAGGCAAAGCCACCTACCAGGCAGGTGGTGAGGCTGGTATAGAAGTCTGGACTCAGAAGCCTGCATCTAACCACCATATGCTCTTCCTTCCCATTCATGAAATCCATTTATGTAGGAAAGGTGGGAGGGACACACTCTAAGAGTAGAAGCAGAGGAGAAATGCAAGGAAAGGACTTGGAGGCAGGAGTGAGGGGATTACAGAACCCCAATGGGGCATCTCTTTTTTTCTCCAGCTTGGTTCTGAAGATGCCTCAGTTACTGCAAAACATTAATGGGATCATTGAAGCCTTTGAGGGCTACACCAGGACACAGGGCAACTGTGAGGTGCCTACTCAGGGGGAGCTGAAAAGGCTCCTGCAGTAGGATTTTGTATGCATTGTGGTATGATGTGCCCAGCAAGGTGGGGAAAGGGTAGAGGAGGAGAGGGAAAACAGGCTTGCCTACAAACATTTTGCCTCTGGAACCTGAGAAGGCAGCTGCTAGATCCAGGCCTGCCCATCCTTGTCCACATCCTCATGGTAGTTGGGCAGGCAGAGAAAGGGAAGGCAAAGGAACCCAGATAGTCACAGAGCTGACAGGCCTGGTCCTTAGAGAAAAGACCTTGACTTCAATTAATTCTAATTTGAGACATAGTAAAGGACTAGAAAGGGCCAGCTCAGGGAGGAATAGAGTTTTGAATATTCTAGACATGAAAATTATTGCTGTTTTCTGCAGCTTCTTAAATCTGATATAGTAACCATTCCCTATATCTATCAGAAATTTGATCATTAATAAACATGCATTAGAAGCATAGCTCTGCGCTTTACATAAAGCAGCTGCTCAAAAATATTAGCTGAATGGTCACATCAGAAATGAAATTTGGAGAGCAGGTAGACAACAGCCACGGGGAGACTGTGGGAGGTTCTCCCTGGAAAAGTAGACCCAGGGCATTGATACACTTGCCTGCATCTCCCTGCCTTTGGTTTGTACCTACAGATGATGTCTCAGGGATAGGACTGTGTGAGCATAGCAGGTGCTGCTTCTGAATGCTCAGCACATTCCCATCAGACTTCCAACCACCCTCCCTTGGGAAAACAAGCCTGGGTGAAGATCTCACCGAATTTCCATGGGGCCAAGTTTCTACTGTGCTTTCTTTGTGTTGGGCTCTCTGGAGAGAATATGGGCTTGGTGGCTCTGGCCAGGGGCCAAGGACAGCCCAAAGAATCATTATGACCTCAATCATTTATTCATTCATTAAATATTTTTCCAGTTCTCCTATAAGCCAGAAACCAGACCAGGTACAGAAGATATAAAACAAAAGGTTGTTCTTACCCTTGAGGGAGAGACAGGACTGAAAATGAAGGCAAAAGCAGTGTGTGGGACCAAGTAGGTGGGCTCTGAGTCTCGGGGTTGGGAAGCCTAGAATCTGAGTGGACCCAGCCAACCACATCCTAAACTTGGAGGGATGATGACTTAGCCTCATCTTCTCCCCAGAAACCCCATGTTCTGGCCACTGTGGGTGAAGTCTTGCTCCTGCTGGATGAAGACTACTCAGGGACTGTGGAATTCAAGGAATTCCTGGTGTTGGTGTTTAAAGTTGCCCAGGCCTGTTTCAAGACCCTGACTGAGAGTCCTGAGGGAGCCTGTGGATCTCAAGAGTTGTAAAGGAGTGCAGAGAGCATTAAGAGTCAGGAAAAATAACTAATAAAACTTAGCTAAACCTTAACAGCAGACCATTCTGGAATAGTAAGAGATTCAATGTCTAAACTTAGAGAGAGGCCAGATCAAAGGAAGAGAAAGCGAGAGGCCAGCCAAGGGCTATTTGAATCCTGGTTTACTAAATCCCCATGGTTTACAACCCTGATATCCACCCTGGCAGGGCCCTTGCTTATTTTTATACTGCTTCTCACTTCAGGTCCCTGTATCTTAAACCGGCAAATAGCCTTTGTTAGGGAAAGAGTGAGTGCTGTTCAGGTGCTAATGCTGAGACCACAGTATCATTCACTCACACAGCAGGAAGAAACTAACATTCCATGATTGGAATGGTCAAAGGAAAGTGGGGAAATGTAGAATCTAAGCATTAGTAAGATTAGTAAATTAGCATAAGCATAGCCATCTTAGAAACCTAGAAACCATTTTCTGAGAGTGTGACTCAGAGGAAAAAAAAAACAAAAAAACCCTGGGCCTGGGTAAGGCCTTGAAAAACAAGTTAATCATGAGCACCGGGTGGTGGGCAGCTGTGACCCTTGGTCAGCTAACCTTGGTCAGTAAATCTTACATACCAAGCTTATCGTGCAGAACCTCCCTAACCATTGAGGAGTAGTCTTACCCTGCCCTTGCTTAACCCCAGGATATATGTCTTGCAAGAATAATGTATAGTTATAGAAAATTGCTATGAGTTAAGTGCTTTGAAATTGCTATATAAACCCTTGGCTCTGAGTGCTCGGGGTCCTTGTTGAGACCCGCTGCATCGGGCTGACTTGGACCTCAGCTAGCTAGCTGAATAAAGACTTTGCTTGAATTTACATCTCTATGCCTGTGTAGTTTGTTCTCTGGGGAAGCCTCGGAAGCCTGGACCCTAACATTTGGGGGCTCGTCCGGGATTCGAGCGGCTTCCCTGAGAACAAAGGACAGCTGGAGGCAAGGTCTAATTGTCCGGACGGGGCAGTGTAATTCGAGGGTCGCCCCCTCGTGTCTGCATAAATCCATTATAAAGCGGGAGTCGCCATCCCGTGTATGGTCTCGGGTTAGTGGTCCCGAGTGAGGAAGTCCGGGCTGGTAGTCCCGGCCCCCAGGTTAGTGACCCTGGGTAAAAGTCCAGGTAACCAATCCTGGCCCTAGGGTCCGAGTGACTCGGCCTTAGGAAGGCAAATCCGATCGGCAGAAAACTGGCACCCGAGGAGGAAAAGATCGAGCTCGTCACCCTGCGGCAGTCCGAGTGGACGCCCTTCGGGAGAATTACGAGAGTTTTTGAGGACCCTGAAAGTGGTGAGTGTGGTGCGCACCAGAGTGAGAGAAGGACCGGTCCGAACGAGTGCGATCAGATGTGGTGTGTGTGTTTGGTGTTATCATTGATTGTTTTACTGTGTTTTGGTTTTGGTTTATATTTCTTTTTGCACTTCTCATTTTAAGTTTCCTTGTTCTAAGGTTCTCCTGCTCTCTCCGTTCCTCCTTTCTGCCACTACATCATTCCCCGCGGGCACGGGTCGGGCAATTAAGAGCCATTAGGGCGCCCGCCGCTAGAAGACTCCCGTGACAGGATAAGGGGGTCACAGCCGCGAATCCCAGATAAATTCGCGTCCCCCGCGGAAGAAAAACTGTGCAACGACAGGCACTCGTTCATAAGCACATACAACAGTCATTTTGTTTGAAGTGGCATCTTCATCCTTCGCCTTTGTCTCCCTCATATTCTTTTTCCTTCTTCTTTCTCACCATGGGTCAGACTCAGGCTACTCCTAAGAGTCTGATCCTCTCCCATTTCCCCAAGGTCAAGGAACAGGCCTTAAGTATGAGCCTTGGCATCAAGAAGGGTAAGCTCGACACCTTTTGCTCAGTCGAGTGGCCTTCCTTCGGAGTAGGCTGGCCGGCCCAGGGGTCTCTTTCTTTGGACCTTATTGGCAAGATCAAAGCCATTATCTCCCGGCCAGGTCCTGAGGGCCACCCTGACCAACTTCCCTATATTCTTGTCTGGGAAAATTTGGCCGAGAATCCCCCTTCCTGGTTGGAGCCCTTTTTGGTGGAGAAACCTCATACTGACCCACAAAAGACCTCCGTCCTAGTTGCCCAGGAAAAATCAAAGCCCTCTGATCGCAGGGCCAGAAATCCTGTGCGCCCAAGTGCGCCGCCTGTCCTCCCCGACAGTTCTCCTCTTTACCCCCTCCCGCCGATTGAGCAGCCACCCCCGTATGCAGAGGAGAGGGGTGAAGCTGCCGGGGGGATAGAAAATGCGGCTAGGGAACCCAGCGGGAACCAGGCGGCTGCAGCTTCCCCAGATTCTTCAGCAGAGGGAGGCGGGAGGCCGGAAAGAGCTTCCTCACACTCCCCCGCCCTGGCCCCACGCTGGGCGCCAGGTAGAACTGGAGGAATGCAGCTAAGGTCTAGAGGGGCCAGGGAACAAGAAGGGGAGGCTCCCTCCTCCACCTCAGAAGGAGCAGTGCCAGTTCTGCCTGTGCGTGCCATCGGTACCGGCATTGCTCAGCAATATCAATATTGGCCCTTTTCATCTAGTGACCTTTATAATTGGAGGACTCAGAATCCTCCCTTCTCAGAGGACCCCAAGTGTCTTATAGGTTTAGTGGAGTCCATTATGTTTACCCATCGTCCCACATGGGACGACTGCCAGCAATTACTCCGCACTCTCTTCACAACGGAAGAACGAGAGCGTATCCTCAATGAAGCCAGGAAAAATGTCCTCGGAGAAAATGGAAGACCCACTACCCTCCAGCCCATCATCGACGAGGCGTTCCCACTTACGCGCCCAGATTGGGACTTCGGAACTGCAGAAGGTAGGGAGCGTCTCCGGGTCTACCGCCAGACTCTGATGACCGGTCTCCGGGCGGCCGCCAGACGGCCCACTAACTTGGCTAAGGTAAAAACTATTGTTCAGGGGGAAATGGAAAGCCCAGCCGCGTATCTGGAAAGGCTGTTTGATGCTTACCGGCAGTATACCCCCATAAACCCGGAAGCAGAGGAACATAGGTCAGCTGTAGTCCTCTCATTCATCAACCAGGCAGCCCCCGATATCCGGAGAAAACTCCACAAGCGGGAGGACCTAGGGGAGATCTCTATTAGAGAGCTGCTGCAGCAGGCAGAGAAGGTCTTCAATGCTAGAGAAACTCCAGAAGATAGAGAAGAAAGGCTGAGGAAAGAGAAATGGGTAATGCAGGAGAAAAATAGGAAGGAAGACAGAGAATTTCAGAAAAGGGAGAACAAGAAGCAGAGGGAGGAGATGGCCAGGATATTCCTGGCCGGGGTGAAGGAGGGCCCTAGGCCACCTCGAGGAACAGGACCCCGTCAATCCCGACTAGGACAAGATCAGTGCGCCCTGTGTAAGAAATATGGACATTGGAAGAGGGAGTGCCCCCAAAGGAGGGAACAAGGGAGAGGGAACCCTGTTAAGACCCTGCACCTAGGAGAGGAGGATTGACGGGGACGGGGCTCGGCACCCCTCCCCGAGTCCTGGGTAACCCTGTGCGTGGAGGGGACTCCCATTGGGTTTATGGTAGATACTGGGGCACAGTATTCAGTTCTCAACCAGGCCCACGGCCCCCTAAACCTAGGACGCACAAGTATAGTCCAGGGAGCGACAGGGTCCAGGATATGTGCCTGGACTACTAACAGAAAAGTGGACCTAGGAAGGCATCAGGTCTCTCACTCATTCCTGGTCGTACCCGAAAGCCCCGCACCATTGCTGGGCAGAGACTTATTAACCAAGGTCGGGGCTCGCATTCATTTTGAACCCGAAGGGATAAAAATCATGGACAAAGAAGGGCAGCCCCTACAACCGGCGCATGTGTTAACTCTTTCCCTGGCCGATGAACATCGTCTGTTTCAGGCGGATCAAGAAAAGGGGGGCCAGGGAGAGATAGACTCTTGGGTACAGAAGTTCCCTTCCGCATGGGCTGAGACCGGAGGAATTGGTCTCGCTAAACACCTATCCCCGGTTGTTGTTCAACTCAAAGCCGCAGCTCTACCCATCCGGGTCCGGCAATATCCAATGCCAGAAGAGGCTAGGAAAGGGATAGCACCCCATATCCATAGACTGTTAGAGACAGGAATCCTTAAGACCTGCCAATCTGCATGGAATACGCCTCTGCTTCCAGTGAGGAAGCCTGGCAGTAAAGATTATAGGCCAGTGCAAGACTTGCGGAAAGTCAATGAGAGGGTAGAAGACATCCATCCTACAGTGCCTAACCCTTACACCTTACTCAGCCACCTGCCACCCACGCATGTGTGGTATACTACTCTGGACCTGAAAGATGCCTTCTTTAGTATTCCACTCTCTGAAGTTAGTCAGCCTTTGTTTGCCTTTGAGTGGCAAGAGCCAGGGGGAGGAAGAAAAGGGCAGCTTACCTGGACTAGACTGCCTCAGGGCTTCAAGAACTCTCCCACCTTATTCAATGAAGCCCTAAGCCAGGACTTGGAGCCCTTTCGCAGGAGCCACCCCCACGTGACGTTGTTGCAGTATGTAGATGACCTGTTGCTGGCCACAGAAACCCGTGAAGAGTGCGAAGAAGCCACGGGGAACTTGCTGGCTGAACTAGGTGAACTGGGATATCGAGCCAGCGCCAAGAAAGCCCACATCTGTCAGAGGTCAGTAGTCTACTTGGGGTACAAAATATCTAATGGGGCCAGGTGGCTAACACAGGCCATGAAGCAAACTGTCCTGGCTATCCCCGTCCCTTCCTCACCCCGGGGAGTGAGAGAATTTCTTGGCTCAGCCAGGTTTTGCAGGCTCTGGATTCCAGGGTACGCAGAAATAGCCCAGTCACCATAGGTAACAAAACCACAGTAAAGTAGAACAGCTAATTACTAAGCAAATGCAAAATTGAATTAACTATCCCCAAAGTCAATCAAGGGATAGACAAAGAGTACAGAATATGATACCAAATATATAAACAATGGAAGAGAAGAAAAAGGAAAGAACCTTTAGATTGTGTTTGTAA